GTTTAAAGAAGCCTTCATAGTTCTACAAAAATTATTAATGATAGTGAACAGATAAATAGTTTTAATCTGTGACAATATAGCACGCTTTGTTTGTCATTAAAATTAATTAATGAATTAGCAATTAATTTTTATCTTCTTTTCATTTTCTAAATTTATTTAAAATAATTTAATTTGAATTATTGAACTTACCGCTGTCGATTTCATTCTCATGCGGATCACGACTAAATATGTCACTATAATAACGATCATATTGTTCTGATTCTACGCTCTGTAATGATTCAGCTTCATTTTCAATTTCATCATTAGGAATTTTACTATTTATATTCTCTTCAATGTCATCTTCTGGTTGATCTCTTGGTTGCTCTTCTGGTTCTTCTTCAATAGGTTCTTCTTCTTTCTTTTTTTGTAGTGCACTACCACGGAAGCGATATTTTTGATTTTTATTATATGCACCGAAACGATTTCGGTTTGCATTTGTGCCTCGTTTCAAATTTTGTAAACTTGAAGAGGCAAAACCTCGTGGTTTCGGTCTTTGTGTTGGTTTTGGTAGAATTTCATCGATCGTTGGTATTTTTTGATTTCCAGCTCTACTACCACCAAATAATTTACGTTCCAAATAGTTTGCAAGTATTTGTTGTGTTATTTGATTTTGACGTGCCAATTCAGACTGATCCAATTGATAATTTGTTCCTAAAACATAAAAATAATAAAAAAATTTACAACTGTGACTAAAAAAATATTGTAGAATAAATCTAAAATAACATAGTATAGAATATCAGAAAAGAGGTTGATTATGAGGAAATTTAACTTTAAAAATTAACTTTCAATTCAAGTTCAAAAATTATGTATGTTCAATAAATAATGATAAATGATGATAAGATTTATTTTAATTAAATAAAATTATTTTCAATGAAAAGGAAAAAAAATAAAAATTAAAAAATTAAATTATTTAAAATTTATCACATCATAATATAATTTGATCGGTTTTTTTTCGTTATAGAACACAATTCAAAGTGGTTGATTCTGCAATCAATACAGATTTTTCTTGTAATTTATTAATTTTATGATCCATTATGATCCACTAAAAATCCTAATTAGAAATACCGAGATAAGAATGTGTAAGATTGTACTGCAACCACTAGACTGTGGTAATGAAATATGAGTAAAATATGGGAACAGAAAGATAGGTAGACTTGGTATATTTTAGAGACAGAATAACAACGTTTTAAGAAAAATCAAAAATTACGATGACTGGGGTACATAATCGGAGGATCTATTGCAAGAAACCAACAAATAGTACTCGCAGGTGAAATGCTAGCAATGAACAAGAGAAGGCGACTGACTAAAAAAGGCATTAATCGATGGAATTGCTAGCAATAAACAAGAGAAGGCGACTAAGAAAGAGATGGATCGATGGAGTTGAAAAGGGCTTAAATACATTGCAAATACCCGACTAGATAACATCAGCAACATGTACTAAGAAATGGAGGAAAATTGTGTAGCAAATCTAAATACTCAATAAATGGTCAAACCGTGGAAGAAGAATCTGATAAAAAATATTTATAAAATGTAATAAAAACTTAACAAATCATGATTGTTGATGTTAAAGAAAATAAAAAGTTATTAACTTGAAGAAACATTTTTAATTGTAAAAGCAGATTACTTAAAATAGAGAACACATGTTGTTACGAAATGAAAATAAAAGCACAAATATAAACGAAATTATAACTAAAATGAACATCTATTATTGGTGAAACTGGATCTCGAATGACGAAATCAATAAAAATAATATTAAGCAGTGGCATTGAACTTTTGATACTAATATAAATTTTTTTATTTTATATAATCCTTTTCTAAATTTCTTGATTATTGTGCAAACTATTATGACGTCAAATATAAATTTGAAAAAGTATAAACTAAAAACTTGAACCATTTGTATTATTAAATGATTCTTTAGATTTTTCAAAAATTAAAATTTAATAAAAATTATACATTGCCATATAAATAAATTAAAAGAAACTAATAAAATTAGCAATTAATGTTAACATATAAGCATTCACTTTGATGAATTTATTTAATTATTTTAGTCCAATAAATTTGTGCAACTTTAATATCTAAAACCAGAATAAATCAGTTTCTTTTAAACAAGTTTATCCTGCTCAAAATGAATCATTCTTCCAAAAGAAAACTAAAACTATATGAAACGCATTAATACATATAGTAATTTAATCTAATTTTATACGTATATTTAACATTTTATAATTTTAGAAAGTGAACAAAATCAAAATCGTTTAAATTCTTCGTTTAAATCGTTTAAATTCAAAATCGAAAAAGAGTCATAATGAATATGAACATAAAAGAAGTAGTTTGGGATAAGATTTAGAATAATCTAGTAATCTAATCTATATAATAATAATAATCTAGTTAATAATCTATCTAATAACTACAAGAGACAACTAACTGCAAAACGCGAAGATTTTTTTGAAAACAGTCCTCTAGCATTTGAGGTGAATTTATAAAGGAAAAGGAAGCAATATCTTTCCATTATTAATTGAAAACAGAAATTGTGGTTTTTAGCTCCTTTTGATATGCCCATTGTGTCCAAGTAAGATTATCCGCACTATAACCGGAATTTGGTTTTGAAATCTATCTTCACAAACTTTAACAGCTTTTAAATTTCGAGTGGCCTAAACTACGTGACCTTTACAGCTCAGATAAACTTTATCTCGTTACCGTCTACTATTAAATGTACTATCAAATTTAAAAAGCTATTTTTGTTCATCAAACTAAGAACTCCGCTTACTATAGCTTACCAAGTTGTATTTTTGTTAGTATATTTCTACATAGATTGTGTATATCATGTGATTAAAGCCCCTATAGAATCATTATGGCCAACAATTTTATGAAAAACTTTTTTCTTAAACGAGTCAAATTACTTTCTGCTACACACACAAGCTTCGGATCTACATGTCAATACTGGCGATATTATAATATTATATAGCAATAGTTTAAAGATTATAACAAAATTTCTGGATTTAAAGAGCCTTGATAGACTATATTTGTTATGGCAGCACTGAAAATAGAAAACACGCGGATCTGGCAACACAACTTGAAAGATCGAGCGTGCGTATACATACAAGAAAGTGATACTTAGTAAATTAATTGTAACAATTAACTGTAATAATAGTAACATATTAACAACTATTGTTGATTATTATAACAATATTGAAGATATTTTTACTGAACATATAAGTTTCACACCCATACGTGAATATTGACAAGACCATAATCTTGCACAACTGCAGCTTAGAGATTATGGCACAATTTCTAGACATAAATAACTTGAGCATGCTATAGTTAACTTAAGTTGTAGTGCCAGATTATTCTTTTATATAGATTTTTAGTTTATTACCTCTAACTAATTGAAAAATTGCATTTCCATAAAGCTATACCCCACTACTCCGATTATTCTACCATATGGGATAACTCCAAGAAATATATTTTAACCTTTAAAATTTAAGTTTACTAAATGGATTCTCAAATATTAAACTACTTTTTTATTCAATTTTATAAATATGTATATATTTACACTACTACGTATCATCAATTAAATCTTATATGAATTCAATATCGTTTTATTTTGCATATGTAAACAAAAATATTTTGCAACTTTGTTTTTATTACAACCTTACTGGCTACCATTACGAGATTCAGTTAAGTATTATCATCATGAATCCAAAAAGTATTGTTAACGAGTCTTAATGGCTTTAACAAATAAGTGTAAAAGTGGAAAGAGGTATTATCATAAGCACTTTATAAAGTAAACCTAAAAAAACCATGTAAACAAAATAGCAATAATATAAATATCGCGATACAAAATTTTTATACAATTTTTAAATAAAAATTCGAAATAATATTTATTGTGTATAGTGTGTACCCTTACTCTTCAATTTGGAGGTTTAACAGTAACAGATATATTGTATATACGAGTATATAAAACATAACAAAAATAAAATTTAAAAATAAATTTCTTTAACTATTAAACAACATTTATCTTAACAGTTTTTTCGTATTTTTTGTATGAACATTTATTTAGTTACAATGTTACAAATCAAATATTTTACATTTATACTTTAATAAAAAATATAAAAAAAAATTTAATTAACTTTCTACCCTTGACACAAATATGGAGAACCAAGATTTCAGCTGATTTTTAGTAGTCAATGAAGACAATTGCAGATTGTTTAAAACAAATGTTTTGTGGTAAAATAAAAACAATTAAAACTCATCTCAAAAACATATATCAAGTGCTGTGACATTTAAATATTAAGGTGATTCAACTAACTACAGATAAATAACAGCAGCAATGACTGCCGATTTCAAGCGGCACTACATTTTTAGGTAGGAGTCCATAATGAACACCGACCAACTACTAACTTAACTCATTGACCATCTTTCAAGCATTTTGCTTGCAATGATTTTTATTTTGCTGTGATTTCGTTACTGATAAACTCAAAACATCTTAAAAGTCATTCAAATCAAATGACATATGTCACTTCAGTCTTTTATTCTCCTTCATTTTCAGCTTTAACTCATAATAACTTTATTTGATTTTAATTATGCATTTGATATTCTCAGAAATTTGTTTACATTTCTCGAATTGAGCTGTTAACACACTGCATTTATAGATATTATGAAAATTTCATAATTTATAAAGCCTTTATTTGTAGACAAGGCACATAATAGTCCATTATTTGTATGTAAATTTGTTTGTTAAAAATTTTTTGTATCTATCTTTAAGCTACTTTGTGTTTTAAAAAGCAATTTTATACAAACATTTTTGTCAGTTACTGAGCGAAAAGATAATCTTATCTCTGCGTTTGCCAAGTTAATTGCTTTGTAAACTTTTTTCCATACTTCAAGTAAAACTTTTCGTAAGTATTTCTTACACAATAGAAATAATATCGTAGGTGTTAACAACGTTTTTGACTTTATAAATATATTACTTACAAATTCACTTCAATTTTTATAATGTAATGATTAAAATATGCCTTAAAAAGTTAACTAGATATAATTGACCATGAAAGCAGAAATCGACTACGTTTTTAAAATAGCTTTAATTTTTAAAATAAATTTATTTAGTTTCTTATTTTTTATTGTAGTCTTATATTAAAGTCAACGCTTATTAGCTGTGCATTATTACTGTTATTAGTTTTATTTATTCATACTAATTGAGGCTACTGTAAACATTTAAAAATACAAGTACGATACAATATAATTATAAAAAAATATAAACCATACCATATAACGTTAATTTTTTCTTGCCGAGAGTTACGCGTTTTAACGACAAAAAGAAACTATTTAAAAGTTAGAGGGATTCGAATAGCTTTTAATTTGACAGGGAGGAGTTCTAGCCTGACACTTGCAGTCCAAACAAATTATATACGGACTATAAACTAATTAAGAAATTCGAATATTTATTAAGACCACTGATAAGTACTTGGCAATACCGGAAACAGCGTTGTTTGGTCAGCCAAATTTCAATAAATTAAATAAATTTTTGTTCTTAGCTCTTCTTTGCTATTCGAGTCCGTCTAAAATATTACAATTTTTTTGGGAGATTTTTATTCCCAAAATTTATGGATACTTCCACAGAGCAGGTTATTTTGATAACTAACTTATGATTGTAAATAAATAATCAACAACACTGAACTGATGTTAAATAAAAATATCACCAACATAATTATACTTCATATTAGGTGATATAAAAAGTACCGACGGTTTCTTTTTAGAAATTTTCAAATAAAAATTAATTCTAATTAAGTATATATTGGGCATTTATCTATGACCTGTTGCCATTTTTTTGGTAGCTTCATATATATTTTGATGTAGGAGTTATGTGATTGAGTGGCGAAAAACTTGGCTGTGATTTTCAGCTGACCAATTTTCTACCGTTCAGAAAATTTTCGGAACACCGAAACAGATAGTAGTCAGACAATATAAGATCCGAGCTATACGATGGATGTATCAAAACTTCCTAATTAAGCTCCGTCAATTTGTTCCCAGTCATCTCAGTGCGCTCTGGTATTGTCATGATAGAACAAAATTCATTTTCTATAGATCAATTCTAGGCACTTTCCCTTGATTGCTTCGTTCACGCAGTTGAGTTGTGAGCAGTGGATGATAATAAAAGTGACGGGATAATGTCACTTTTCAGAAATGTGCTTGTTTGACATAATCGAATTAGTGTTGCAAGATATATGAGTACCAATAACATCTAGTGACAAAAAACATCCGGTACTTTTTTATATCACCTAACATTTCCTTCAAAATTTTTTGTAACATATAATCCAACTTCTTAATAAGAAACTTTTATAAAAGAAAGGCATAGCTTTTTTGTTTTATTTAGAAAATAAAAATTTCTAAAATCAATATTTCTATATAACGAATTTCATTTCCAATAAATAAAATTTCTGAGCCGATGCACATTCGCTATAGTGAAGTCTAGCTATATTATATTTAGGGATTATACCTGAGTACTTATACAAATGATTCACCTTCATAATTATATAGTCGTTACCTAATTATTCCCTACAACCACTTGGCCTTTTCTCAGATCTACTCTTTCCCGGGTCTAAAAATAAGTTCCTGCTTTGCAAGGTCGTTTGACTTTTAATTATCTTCAATACCTATATACTTCGGAACTCATACAATGCTTGCTTGCTTGTCTTGGCAATTATGTTCAGCTTATTTAGACACTGCAGCTTATTTAGCTTATTTAAACACTGTTTCAATGCGACATTATAAGATAAAAGTGCCTTACTGTCAGTTAAAATAGCTTATCTTTGCTTTCTGTAATTATATTTACCACTGAAGTAAATACACCAATCGTTCCCATATATTTTAGGTAGCACAATGGTTGTGTTTTTACCTAGGGATCTCCCGTATTTTGTCATCATTCCAAGGGATCTTATCCAGATATATTCGTTAGTGAGTGAGCATAACGAAGTGAACTAGTGTTGATGCTTTTAACAACAATAATTTATGTTGTCATATTTTTATTTATATTATTAAATTAATAATTTAAAAAAATATTAAATAATTTAAATTTATTTTTAAATTAAATTGCTCTTTTAAATATATTTTATATATACAAGATATTTTTAAATAATTTTAATATTTTATAACAAACTTGAAATGATAAAAATACCTAACAAATCATAAGAGTCGTTACAGGTGTCAGAGCAAAACTAATTAAATTAAAATAATTTGTTTGTGGACCTCATAAATTCGGCTTGTAAGACAAACAATAAAAGTAAATATTTGCCAAAACACCTATTTTTATTTACCGATGTTAGCATCGGTTTATACAAACCTACAAATGTATATACTCGAAAATGAGTTGTGGCTCTGCACACTATAAACGAAGTGAATAGTAATTAATGAATATAAGTAAAACATATAAAATTTAATAAAAAGACATTAAAAATCGATCACATTATGCACATATAACTGGCAAAATACGAGTATATAAAACCACAATTTAAGCTAAATATTTGCATCTTGTTAGCAGCAATCTACGGAGTGAGTTTTTACCTTGAATTGAAAACCCTTGAAAACGCTTTTAGTTGCTAATAATAAAAACAGTTTAATGAGTTAAACGCAAATCACATTTTGCAATAAATTTCAATTTTTTATGATTTCCTTTTCATTTTGTTAATTTATATTTAAAATAATTTAAAAAAATTTTAAGAGAATAAATTCGTAGCTTAACATTTTGTAACAGCAAAATGCTTACTGTTTAAAGAATTTTGTTTAAAATAATTGCCTTACAATAACTTATAAATCATTCTCAATGCCTTCACAGATTCTAATATAAACATTAAAGTGATTTTTACAGATTATTTTGTTGGAGTTTTGTGGTCAGAGATCTGCTTAAACATTTTTTTTGCAGTTACTTTTTTTGCCCACCGCAAATTAAAGATTTACAACTCATTGTTATATTGTATTGTGGTTTGGACTGTGCTCTTAATTAGCACAGGAAATCTGTTGGTCAGTGCGGTAGTAGTGTAAATTTGTTTAAACGATTTCAAATGCTTGCTAATGACTTAGGCACAATAAATCATTTTGATTCTTGCAACATTTTTGCATTGTTTATCGAATACCGTTTCAGTATTCAATGTAAATAAGTATCACGATTACCAGAATATTTCTTATACATTTTTTTTATCTTTCACAGTAGAAGCGTGTAAACGCCAGATGGTAAACGTGATCTAAAAATGACATTAATTGCATGCCTCCCATATCACCACAGGCATCAAACTTAAGATATGACATCGATTTAAAACGACAACTGCCAATACTTATCTACGGTAAACCCATTTCCTCTCATTGCAAAATGTTCAAATAATAATAATATTGCGATGTGAAGTTTAAACTAAAATCTAAGAAAAAAAACAACTCTAAAAACGTTAATTACTACGACTGTTTGTCAGTAATAATTACGTAAATTTTTCATAGCAAAATGTATACAGTTATAAACTTAATTAAACCAATTAAATCATAATACAATTTTATGATATTAACTTTTTCGAAATTGATATTTGCTAATATGATAATACGTTAATTTGTAGCTATAAAAGAATCTAACATTTGGAATGGTTCTAAATATAGCAATACTATACAACTTCCTTCCTTAAACTATTTGTTATATTAATTAAAACTCTTAAGATTCACACATGAATGCTTTAATAAAAATAGGAACTAACGTTTTAATTATATTAGCAATCATTAAAACAGTTTTAGGACTGTAAATACATTATTATTATGATAAACTATAAGGTAAATATAGCATACTATACAACTTCCTTCCTTAAACTATTTGTTATATTAATTAAAACTCTTAATATTCACACATGAATGCTTTATTAAAAATAAGAACTAACGTTTTAATTATATTAGCAATCATTAAAACAGTTTTAGGACTGTAAATACATTATTATTATGATAAACTATAAGGTATTTTTTAATAAATTTATTGGTAAAGAATGGGACAATAAAATAAACTTAACTATTGACAACATTAATACCACAGACTTCTTCTAATTTTAGGTCGTTCGAACGAGTAGCTCAAGTAGTAACCTTTGAGTAATACTGTGTATACACAAAGGACGTTCCACCACGGTTGCCACTTATGGTACTTTAGTACCAAAATTGGTACATTTTTTTTTTATTTTTTTCGTTTGGTACTCATGTTCAAAAAATGGTACATTTTTGACGACCCAACTTTATTGTGGATATTTCCAATTAATTTTTTTTATAAATGCAACTTTGCACTATTTTATATTTTGTTCATTTATAACACTATGAAAAACACAGAAGGAGAAAACAAAAAGGTCCAAAAAAATTTTGGACCTTTTTTTACAGAAATGGTACCTTTTTAAACCAATTTTG